CGAAAGAGAACAGCCTAGCCTGGCCTAGATTCGATGTAGAGAGTTACAATTAATTCCTAACGGGGCACACTGTAACACACGAATTCAACTGCGAGTTCAATAATGAACATCGATGTCTCCCCGTCCAGCCTCAAGCAATCTAGATAATCACCCAGGCTTTTCGTTGTAAAGATTTCACATCCAACTCAAAACCAATCGCAACTGACTTCAATGCAATTTCGCAGGCGTAGTACGCATACACCGCTCATCTCGGAATATGTTCAGCCAACCGAACACCTGAATCCGAAAGGAGATGCTGACACCGCTGACTCATTCGGCATCGCAGTCGCGGCAGCCGGCAACACGGCGTCGTTGCGGCGTCGAGCATTTTTGCTTCATACACTCATCACTGCGCTCCGACGACGCTGACGGAGGCGATTATGAAGCCCGCAATCGACGCCGGAGACGTCTCCTCACGGCAGCTTTCGTCAGTAATGGGAGCGCCTTACCAGCATTCGAACATCGTATCGAACCAATATCGAGCAGCGTATTAAAGCGGGATGCATTTGCGCTGCAGCTCAAACAGCCATCCAGAACACCCACCACAACACAACATTCACAGAAATTTGAATCCGACATACACACACTTTGAAATGCCCTCCCTAATCACTGTTCGCACATCTAACTCGACCTACGCGCCGTCCTACATCCCCGTCGCGATCTTCGTCGGCGGCACATCTGGCATCGGGCGCGCCACAGCAGAGGCTTTCGCACGATACACCAACGGCAACGCGCACATCATCCTCGTCGGGCGCAACGCCGCCGCCGCCGCGGAAATCATCGCGGCCTTCCCCAAACCTGCGGCGTCTTCCTCGACATCGGCGGCATGGAAGCACGAATTCGTCTCGTGCGACGTGTCGTTGCTGCGTAACGTCCATGCTACCACAAGCGAGCTGCTTGCGCGCCTCCCGCGCGTGAACTTCCTCGTTCTCTCGGCGGGGTACTTCAGTCTCGCGGGGCGCGACGACACCGCTGAGGGGCTCGACCGGAAGCTCGTCGTGAGCTACTATGCACGGTGGGCGTTCGCGACCCGGCTGGCAACGGCACTGGAGCGCGCAGCAGCGAAGGGCGAGGCGGCGAGTGTGATGAGCGTACTCGGCGCCGGGCATGGGCCCGCGGTTGATCTAGAGGACCTGGGATTGGAGAGAGGCTATAGCGGGAAGGCGTCGATGGACGCGTGCGCGACGTATACTGATCTGATGGTTGAAGTGAGTTTCTTTCTTCCCTTTTTATCGTTCCGCAGTGATATATAATAACTAACTCAACCAACCCAGGAACTCGCCGTACGGCACCCCACCATCGCCTTCACGCACACTTTCCCCGGATTCGTCAACACGCCGCTGTTCAACTTCGAGCACTGGGCCGCGCGCCTCGTGTCGCCCCTCATCAAGCTGGTGCTCTATCTGATGGCGAAGAGCGAGCAGGACGCGGCGGAGTACCAGCTGTTTGGGCTCTTGTCTGCCGCTCGCGGCGGATACAGGCGCGGGGAGCATGGGGACGTGATCAAGGCGGCACCAGTGTACGGAGTGGGACGGAGCGAGACGTCGGGCAAGGTATGGGCGCATACGGAGGGGGTTGTGGGGAGGCGGGAATGAGTGAGGGGACGTCTCAGTATTATATTCTTTGAGTCCCGCATACAATTGGACGAACATATCTCGCAAAATTCCTATAATTCCGACAGAGATCCCACTCTATTATGACTCCTCCATGCGTGCCTAGTTTGTAGAATTTGTGGCCTATGGCTAATTGCCACGAGCTTGAACATCGTAGTTCGAATTAGATCCACCTCAGATACAAGGACGTCTTGATTTTCTTTTTTTTCACTCTTCTTCCAACTTGAATCTTATTTTTTGCGGTCGACACACCAGCGTGTTTGGATGCTCATCAACGATCTAATATTTGTTTCTACCGTGTTACAGTACAGGAAGACCCCACTAGACCTGTGTTTCATCCACATGCGTCTACATGCAGTGTCTACCGGGGGAGGTATATTAAAATGCAAGCAGAATCAGCCTCCCATTCTCATCGAAATTACAATTTTGCCAAACAAATATGTAGCTTGTTCGATGCAAATTCTACGGCGAGTTGACTCAACTTGAGCCCGGGTCGTTCGTACTGTTACTGTATCAGCTCGGTCAATTTGCTTTTACTGGTTCTTGGCGTGCGGTACTGGTACTGAGCTGGCGGCAGAGATTAAGAGTTTACATACATGCCCATGGGAGGCTCGGAGCCTGAGGATCGGTTTGAAAAGTGAAAAAGTTCCAGTGGATGCCGCGCTGACCATGAAACTGATATAAAGGGAAGTCGGCTAAGATTTTTTACTTGTTTGCATATCCTTCAATGTGGCACCAGTCGGGGGAAGTGGGCGAGGAAGATGCTCGGGTGTTCCGAAGGAGTCAACAGGGCCCAAAAGTCATGGAAAAATCCCTGTAGATGATACGTAGCAGATGCGATTTTTTTCCGAGGGAACCTTCCCTTCCGTCCCATGTTCGACCTTCGTGCTTCGTGCTCGTTTTGATGCAGTGAGTACTACTGACTGCCGTCGAAATCTACAGACGGCACTGAAGATCAAAGACCCTGCTTCATTGTCCACGGGAAAAAAAGAGATCCACTCGTCTGTTATATATACAAACAGGGATTGCCCGGATGAAATGCTGCCATGTCCGGGGGACGGAATGTATCGGGTATGGTTTTCCGTAGTGCAATTCATCTAGGAAAGACAAAATCTACGTGAAGCTCTTTGATCCTTTCCACCAGCAACAGGAGGAGGAGGAGGAGGAGAGTGTATTACCGCTGCGGTCCCATTGAGGAACATGCGGCTACCGTACCTACAGAGAACATCGGCCTTGCTTCGGCCGTGAAGTTTCATCACTGGCTGCATAAATATTCGGTGACATCACGGTAGACCGGTCTGTCAGTGTTTATCCAAGTTCCATTATGTACAGATTCGGAGAGTATTAAATGGCCAGGTTGAGCTTGCAGTGTTGGCCGTGAAGGCCTTAAATCGGGTCTCCGGAATTCTGAAGGCCATTTGAAGCTTAAGGTCTTAAAGAGAATTTCCCGTCTTATTGAAAAGAGTTTCACGCGTATATTGAACGCGTGTCCAGGGAGCTCAGAGCAACAGAGTACTCGGAAAAAAGAATTGCCGTATGCAATCGATTTTTGATCGGATCCGGCGAGTTGAGTTGGGACTTGAAGGGGATACATCACATGTGCAAACAGAAGTCCTTCTCTTCGCAAACCGTCATGGACGTTTTGGCGCAAGAGCTCATCGACTCCATCGTGGAGGAAATCGTCGGCGAAGCAACCCTCCAAACGTTCTCCCTCGTTGCTAGACTCTTCGTTGAGCCCTGTCAGCGCCGCCTCTTCCGAGAACTGCAGTTCTTCAATTTTGGACGTGCTGGGGACACGCAAGGCCTCGTTCAACGAGCCTATCTGCTCTTCCATACTTCGCCGCATCTGCGCTCCCATGTTCGCACTCTTGCTTTCGATGGCGTCGAAACTCTACGAGACCCAGGCCTCGCCGCGTTGACATCGATAATTCGCATTCTGCACAACATCACTCATTTGATCCTGGTCCGCGTCAAGTGGAACGATGGATTTCCGAACTTCATAGACGCGATTTCAGCCAGCATTCTCCGTCCATCCCTCCAGTCATTGACCATGCTTCTATGTAATCCTGTCCCCGCGAACCTCCTCACACAAGCGACAACTCTGCGGCATTTGATCCTGCATCAAGTGGTCGTGGAGAACCATGATACCAAAAGCAGCCTCGAACCCATTCCATTCTCGTCTTCCCTGACAGGCCTTTATATCGCTGACGGCATAATTCCTACCAACGTCTTGCCATGTCTCGTGGCGCTGAAACACCTCACACTGCTTTCCACCCAAATATCCCCTCCCGACTTCGCTGATACTCTGACTGCTCTATGTCCCGACGGTTTAGAACATCTAACGATTGGAATGTCGGGTGATTTTTGAAATCGATGTTTTGCTTCGCATGCTAACAATCACGATGTATGCAGTCCGGTCGCAAATCCCCACCACTCTGCTTGCCCGACTCGAATTCTTGCGATCCATCGAACTGCGATTTGTCCTTGTGGCGGAAATTACGCCGAGTGCGCTTCTAGCCGCCGTACCCGATCCTGTCCGCGTGCCGCAGCTGGAGACGCTCACGTTATTCGTTGTCGACCCCCAGTTCATCACCACCGATGCCGACCTCGACGTCGACCTCGACGCCCGACTGCAGTCGTGGTGCCATCTGCGTGCTTTCAAGATCCACGTCCGGGCGGCAAAGAGCGTCTCTGCCGACACACAAGACCACCCGCTCTTTGCGTACATCCAGGCGCAATTGCCGAGAGCGCGGGAGCGTGGTCTGCTCTTCTTTTCGAACGACGTACTACGAGGTCTCGAGGGCATGTAGCTGACGATGTTTATGAGGTTCGCGGTCAACCACTCTTGACGTTTTGCATTGATTCTAACACTTCTCTGTAGGGTTATTCATGCTTGAACTTTTCTACGTTTCTATCGCTGTTGCCGGGCTTCGCGGTATAAATCTTGATGATAACTGTGCTACAGTTGGTTTTGGAATCAGAGCAAGGCCGACACACCATCATCCTGGGATACCAGAACAGGCGGTGTTCCTTGGGGAAGAGGTAGCAGCTCAATTAACAGCAACCATCCGCCCAGACGACCTCCCCCATCCTTCCTCCAGGGAGCGGCAAACCGGATGTCGTTGGTCGAATTCGACCGCAGAGTAGAAGATCAAATAGAAGAGCCAGCGCAAGGCACAAATGAATTCAGCCCCTTGCAAAAAGGTAGAAGTCATGCGGAAAAAAGTACGGTTCCTGCTTCCATTCAACTTGGTATACTCAGCAAATGATCAGCTTTCAGGCCACCCGCCAGAAAAATCCCATCTCAAGTCAACATACAAAAAACATTCGAACAGTCGAAGTCATATATTTGGACGCGGGGAGTCGAACCCCGACTTACAGCTGATATTCTCGTCTTTAGATCACTTGCTTGACTGAATGCTGTTGTGCACCGCGCACCACGCCCGACATCGAACCAAGTGCTAGTATCAGTGCCGACGTAAAAATGAATAAGTACTGGTATTGACCTGAACCACACAACAGCCTCTGAACTACGTACGAATTTGGAAATAAGGGCAGTGATGTCGGAAAAAAGCTGTTCAGCATGCAACGGCATGGTACAGCATGCGACCTTGGGACGGCATCAAAGTGGTTCGAAGGCGTGGCGGACGGGCTTTGAAGCACCGTTTAAGGACACATCTGAGTTCCAAGCTGTTGCATGCCATCTCAAGATATCATGTACCACCAGCGCGAACATAATGCTTTTGGGGGGGAGAGACGGGTCACGGGTCTCAACTGTAGATCGTCCAGTTTCCTCGGTTCTCTGCATTATATTCGAGATGGAGGAGAGTGGTGGCCCGTGGGTCGGCAGAGATGGGCTTTGGGCTTCGCTACGACGGTGAGCTTCTCGCTCGGGCCCAGAGTCCGAGACGTGTGTATCATTGGATGATTTGCGACGAGGGATACCGCGACGAGCCATTGCGTTGAGGGTCCAGGGTGCCGGAGGTGCATTTTTGGGAGGTGGAGTAATGATGTCATAGATTACAGCATGTGCAATATATAAAGCCCCACTCTTCTCACCGCAACTCCAACTCTTCCTTTCCTTCCACCACCACCGTCGTCCTCTCAATCTCAGCGTTCTCGCTCGAGGTATGCATGTGCACCACTGGCCGCAACGACGAGGACCTGACTAATTCAGCTCTCGCATCCTTCTCCTCATCAAGTAGTATGTATCTGCATCCTTTTCTTACCCATTCCCTCCGGACGAACCTACGCAGAATTGTTTTCGATGACTGGTTTCGGGGTACGCAATTGTCTTTCATCATTTTACTGATGTCTGCGTACATTCCAAGTTCCTCATAGTATTCCTTCTCGTATGTTGATCGTCAACTCGATCATCCACCGTGCTAATGTTGGCGCACAGGCTCGGTATATACGCTGTCCTCTGTAGTGCTTCCCTGTCGTATTACCTTCTCAATATACAATGTTTTTATCTTCCTTTGTTGCGTGCAGTGTATCAAATTGATCAGAAATATTATTGACCAGATAAGCAATGCTGGCTTTAAGAAACATAGAAGGCGTTAAAAGGTTGCAGAGCACTATAGAACCATAGCAGACCTTGCAACTCAGGGCCTGGATGGGAAGCGGTTGGAGGATTCTTACCTGTGCGTTGGAAGCCAGCCAAAACCATGCGACCATGGAACGGCATGCAACAGCTTCAACGCCGATTAAACCCGATTTGGATTTTTCCGACAGAGGCGGGTGAGTGAGCTTCTTCAGTTCGGTGAGCGAGCAAGTTGGGCATGTGCGGATTCGATTCACTGGATTGAACAGATGCGAGCTGATTTGCTGACGGGAAGGAATATCTCGGTGACGCTTAACTTGCCATCAAGGCATTCAATGCCGCTGAAGTAGATCATCTTACGGTCAGGCAAAAGTCATGCGGAATCGAGTACTGTTCCTGGTTTGCTCACCTTGCTCTACTCAGCAAACGATCGCCCCGCGCCACAGAGATGTGGCTGATTCTCGAGGCTGGAGAAATGTAAAGCCAAAAAAGCGAACGTAGGAAGTCGTATTCGGGCGCGGGGAATCGAACCCCGACTCAACAGCCACAGTCTTGTAGTTCGCCTTCTTGACAGGAGGCTGCCGTGCACCGTGCACCGCACCCGAGGTAAGTATGCATATCTCGGCCCCAGCACAAGTTGACAGATAAACGACCGATGGAACGGAGTTGGATTGAAGAGTTAAACTGATGATGCGCTGAACTGATAACTCACCAAATTCGAGTCGCATATATACCGAGAACGAGGATCCTCTCTCTCTACCACCCATGGTTACCTGAAAGTCGCTGTTGTCAGTGTCTCACTTAGCGGAGGAACAAAAAAAGAAAACCCAGAAAAAATATAAACAAGTGCTTAAGAAAAGACGAGATATTCGGGTGCGGGGCGTCGAACCCCGACTCGCAGCTCGCACTAATATGCCACTTCAAATAGCGCTGTTGTGCACCCCGCACCACACCCGAGGCAAGGATATAGCTCGGGCCCAGCACAAGTCCCGGCCTAGAAAATGGCGTTAGAATCAGGAAACCCTGATCATGCTTTGAACTCTTTGAAGTTTGAATTGACAACTTACCAAATTGTACATACCGAGGACAAGCATCCCTCTCTCTGCCGCTGGAGACCATCATGGGCTTGGCTTGAACGTCGCTGTACTCTCAGTATTTCGGCGAAGGAACAGAAAAAAAAACCAGGAAAAAAATAACACAAGACGACATGGCATTCGGGCGCGGGGAGTCGAACCCCGATGCGCAGCTCGCACTAATATGCCACTTCAAATAGCGCTGTTGTGCACCCCGCACCACACCCGAGGTAAGGACATATATCTCGGGCCCAGCGCAAGTCCCTGCCTAGAACTCAGGGAAAACCTTCATGATGCACTGAACTGATACCGATGCTTTGAAGTTCGAACTGAAGTTACCAAATCGCATATATACCGAAGACATGCATCTCTCTCTCAGCCGCCGGTGAATATCATGGGCTTAACCTGAACGTCGCTCTACTGCCAGTATCTCAGCGCCGAGGGGGGGAACAAAAAGAAAAGAAAGAAAAGTCCGTATTCGGGCGCGGGGAATCGAACCCCGACTCACGGCCACAGTCTTGTAGTTGGCCTTCTTGACAGAATGCTGTTGTGCGCCGTGCACCACACCCGAGGGAGGTAAGTATGGATATCTCGGCCCCAGCACAAGTTGACAGATAAACGACCGATGGCACGGAGTTGGATTGAAGAGTTGAACTGATGATGCGCTGAACTGATAACTCACCAAATTCGAGTCGCATATAAGTATACCGAGGAGGATCCTCTCTCTCTACCACTGGGGAAGATCATGGACTTGACCTGTACTGTCATTTCCTCGGAGCAACAAAAGAAAAGAAAAAGACGTGGGCACAAGCACTATTCAGGCGCGAGGAGTCGAACCCCGATCTGCAGCTCATACTGGCCTGCCGATTTACGTAGCGCTGCTGTGCACCGCGCACCACGCCCGAACAAAAGACAACTGGGGTTCGGTGAGAGGTGGGTTCTTTGACGAGATATTGGGCACTGAACAGCACAAAGACCTGACATCCGAAGCCTCTGCCAGACTGAAATTCACTGGATAAATAAATCTGAGCAGGAAATTCCGTGCTCAAATACCTCACCGCATACTGGGAAATGAGCGGACCTAGTACCCGGAGACTTGGCGGAGATGGAGTAGTTTCGGGATTTGAGACGCTGAATCAAGTCGTCCGGCCTTTGTAGCTTAGGTAGGTCGGCGGGAGTGTGGTTTAAATCAAGGCGACGTGAAGTTGAATGTGACGGGATATAGGGAGTCTGAATTTCACAGGATAAAAGTGGATGGTTGAGAGCCCCGAAATGGTGTGCTGACTGTTCAGATCATGCGCAAAAGGATGTCGCCTGAGATGCGGGGAGCGTGGATTCTGCGACCCATTAATAACGTCCGTTCAGCTATTTGTGAGTAACATGAACTCCATCCTGAGATTTGTGAAAGATCGGTTCTGCGATACGAGATGCCTACCCAAAAAAGGAACCACGTATCGGACTCGCGCTTCTGTGCATCGTGCGCCACGCCCTACGGCAAAATAAATGTGAACCTCGGTCGCACATCAGAGTCGGAACCTATACTCAGAATTCGAGTTACCGGTTCAAATCAAAGGGTTCCGCCCCGGTCCGAGAACAAAGGCTTTGAAGCGTTAAAAGGGGCGAACTTCTGGCAGTTGAGAGCTTAGCTATCCGGCTCGGGCACTTAGTTGCGTATGTAGTCTGAAGCTGGTCAAATACGTGGTCTAAAGCAAAAGTTAACAGGAAAAACACATAGCGGCGCGGGGAGACTAATATTGATCTCCGGGAACGTTAGATGTTGGATGTGTGCTCTGAGACCTGGAAAGAGCGACCGAGAAAAGTGTGTGGCGTCTAAAAAGCGCGGAGACAGAGCGCCCAGGTGAGCAAGGACGAGCGGAATCAGCGGTATTGGAGATATTGGAGGTCTGGCGTACTATTTATCCCCACGAGCGAAGCGGGGCTTTCTGTATCATATCCGACAAACTGTCGGATATGATCATGATGGAGGATGTCCGACATTGACGCGAAATGGAAATCGAGAAAGTTGACGCGGAACAGAAGTAGATAAAGTCGACGCGAGATTGAGGATATTGCTGCATTCGTATCCTGAATTTGAGGTTTTGCGTTTTGCGAATTGAGGATAATATCACGGGGTTCGAAGGGGCACGTCGGGGCCTGAGTACTGTGTAATGAGGGGAATTATTGATTGGTGAGTGGTGCAGGGCGGTAAGCATATCATTGATAGAACTACATGTAGACGGAATACGCACCCGGACGCGGGCACCAGCCCTTCAGTTCGGCACGGCGAATACTGATCGCATCCTGCTCGCAGGTAAGTTGGCATTGAGTACCCGACATAAATAATATCAACGCAGCGCTGGAGAGTCGTAAGAGAAATAATAATTTTGATGCTGCAGCGACTTAAGGCCTGAGCTCAGATATGAGTGAAGTCATCAGTATCAGTTCTGTCTTTGGTCATAAGTCGACGCTAGTCGACGACGGTCGGGGTTCAGTGCTGGTTTCGCTGTGGAGCCGTTTTTCCATTTCCAACCTGATGAAACTGCGACTTACTTTTCCGTTGATTAAAACGCACACGTACAAAAGATGTGAGATACCGAGTTGCGGGATCGGAATCGAGAAGAGAACTATGGGTATTCAAGACCTCGTGGCGTTGTGCCGCGGGAAACCGAAAGTGAACCGAAAGGGAACTGCGAATAGTTCATCAATGAACAACCGATGGGGCATATGTAGTATGAGGTGCACGCACGCTGTGGCTGTGCTAGGAATCCATATCCGGTTGTTTGTAGTTAGTTGTCACCACTACTTGTTCCCTTTTTTCCATCGCCTGGCCCACTTTCGCGGCCCAAGGCGCCATCTCGCTTGCCCACAGCCGACGCAGGCGCATTTCCGCTAGCAGAGACCCCGAGAGGTCTCCAACGCCGATTCGGGATTCCGGAGGCAACTAACAAGTATTCGAGGATTCTTTCGAAATTCAGGATTCTGTTCAGCAACCGCAGATTCGGAATTGAGGTTCTCAGGTTGGAGACGAATTCGGAATCAAATTCGGAATGGGATTGAACTTTCGAGAGAAACGCCGGAATAACACTGAGAGAAGCGGAGAATGGTTTTGAATTGATAGGGTACATGCTGTAGAACCATTGGCAGCAGAGTGGAGAGCATGACGGGGCAGAGAGAGGCTTCAAGATCTAGAGCGCATCATATGTAGCGGTGGGACTGTGGCGACGTTGACAATACAGAACGACCAGGTGCGCGGACAAAGGTGGCGAGAAAGTGCAAGAGAGGACGTATCGGATCAAGTCGGAGGTCGTGTGTGGAGTCGGAGCGAGAATCGCGATGCCGGAGACACGGGCATGAGTGGGGGTAGAGCGCAGGGAGGAGAAAGGCGGTGTGGAAGGATGTACATGCATGAGGGCGGTCGCAGGGGGCGTGGTGTCGCAGCGGAGGAGGCTGGGAGCGACGACGACGAGAAGGGCTGGGCGTACTAGAACGAGCAAAGGATGGAGATGAGTCATGGAGAGAGCGCGTTGGGAGCGATAGCGAGGACAGGATGAGTAGAATCGCGAGGGGACGTCGTGGTGAAGCACGAACAGAATCTCCGTTAGCAGGATGACGTCCGAGTCCTAGTCGTGGCGGCGCAGAAGGAAAAGGAAGGTTTGATTCAAATCAGTGGCAGTGGCGACACCTTGGAATACCGTGTAAGACCCAACCCACACAGAGAAATCCTGTCGACCTCTAGCAAAGAAAAATCAAAAATCTATATCGACTCTCGACCAATTCGGGTGCGGGGAGTCGAACCCCGATGCGCAGCTCGCAATAATATGCCACTTCACCACGCCCGAACAAAAGTGAAGCGGGGTTCCGTGGGAGGTGTGAGGTTCTTTGGTGGGCTGTTAGGCCCCCAATTGTGTGGGAGATATCGTGTTCGAAGTACGAAAGGGTACGAAAGGGCAGGCCGAATGAATTTTGAATCTCCTGGGGGAAAGAAAGCTGGATGGCTTCGGAAATCAGCTCTGGATTCTGTGAAAGCTGGTGGCAGCAACGACCATACCGAGTGATGCTTGCTCGTTATCTTGAGCCACGCTTGAGAGACAAAAAAACTGTCCCATTCGCCGTGTCGGAGCTCAACCAGGAGAATAGGATCTACATAATCTAGACGGGTGAACATAATTCCAAGGGGTGAATAAATACATACTGTAAATCGACGAACAAGAGACAACATACAGTAGTCCCGACGCAGGGAGCCGAACGTTAGCCCATATTTGCGGCGGATGGTATTGACTTTTCTTGGATCGAGTGCTGTTGCGCACTTAACGCCACACTGGGTGCGTCGAGGTACGAGTGAATGGTCGACGAGGGTCGGCAATTTCGAGGGCGATTCCGAATCAGTTCCGCTCATGTGGATCCGTTTTCCTTCGAGTAGACGACGTCAGTAGCCAGCCTCCGGGCGCAGGGTCTGAACTGGGAAGAGAGAGGAGCAGACTCGCGGCCCGGCCCGGGGAGCAGACTCGCGCGTGGAAACGAAACTGCGAATA